TACAAATTCGTAATAGAAAATGCATCTCACCCTCGTCGATCAAGGATCCAGTAATGAAAAGAAAATGAAGTCCGAACTACGGAATGCCTTCAATTCTGCTGTAATCCCCTTCCTCAATCATCATCCACATCCATTTCACCAACCTCGGAATATTCTATTCAAAACCTCGAGCTCAAGGCCGATACTTCATGATTCTCTTGATTGGTTACCACTTGGACCAATCATATGTGAGAGTAGTGGATCATGCTCTTTTATCTTCATTCTCTTCTCTCTTTCTCACCAGGAAAGTGATCCAAAAACCAGAGAAAAACCACAAACTCTTCGGATCAAATTCGAGAACATTTAGCGAAGCGTATAAATAGTTATTGAAGGAAGAAGAGGAAATTCAACGAGAGGAAGTCGTTTTCTTATATTCGATTGTCTACTTGCTGAAATTTGACGCTAGTGGGTTACAGGGGCGATGATGTTTTTTCACGTGTGGTTATGGCGATGGTCGGAGTTCGCTTTAATTTTGGCCGATGCGTTCAGGGTGAGGATGAGGTTGGCTCGATGGTGGGTTTTAGTCTTTGACAGAAACAGATAAGACTATGAAGCTGTAAGTATACTTCAATCATTATCTAGAGACATAAGTATTTGCTGCACATGAACACGAATCTTCAGTCAATATTCAGTAAGCATTCGAAATTTGTCTAACATGTTACGAGAAGTTACTTGAACAGGTGCAAAACTCAACAATGTCGCCTTTCCCCTGCCTCTCAGCCAAAAGCGTGCTTTATTTCCTCCACAATTAGCATCATCAATGATTGGAAAGACATCCATCAAGTAGTTCTTACAAAAGCATGTAACATATCAAAGTTCCTCGTTGAATCAATTGAACTCGTCGCAAAGATCCAAACACTTACAAGATCTCACCATATCCCATCACATCCCATCACATCAACAAAGGCTGGCGAGAAATCCGTTCTTTCATATCATCCTCCTTAAACCTCTTCATCTTCATTCCCTCACCATGTTGATAAACCCCTAATGCCTTGTCTCTAGTTCCGGACTGAACCTGCATTGCCACATTTCTTGTATATGTTTCTCTCATTCTGTACGTCCCGCATATCTCGGAACGCTGATGTAGAACAGATAAACTTGTTGGTCTACCTGAAGAGAAAGGATAGGTCGTGGAGAGAATGGTGTTTCTGAGTGAGACACAGGAGTTGGGGTATTGGGAAATGATTCGACGAAGAGGTTCTGTAGCGATGGGAGAGCCGAGAATTGCGAGTTGGTCGAGTCCGGGCAGAGGTACTGGTGCCAGTTGTGTGGCAGGTTTAAGATGTCGTGGGCTTGATAGCACAGGTCCGTAAGCGATGGCATACGAAGTAAAAAGGGGTTAGTGGACAGGGCGAAGAGAGCCGTCTAGCCGACTAGTGTCAAGAATTGAATGAATTCAAGTGCGACGGTGGCTTCTGATGCATAACCCGCTGACACTAAACTTTCTTTAAAGCTTCTTTGACCCTTTGTTGTCAACAATATTCAATAAAAGAATATCAGATTCGAGGAAGGCAGAAGTAGTCAGACAAAAAATGACAAGGGTTGCGTTCTAGAGCTCTGGTCTATTCAGTGAATTAGTTTGTGTGAAGCTTTGGGCAATATGGAGCTGAAGAAAAACAGATGGGCTCAGTAGTTTTAGAACTTCGCCGAACATTGAGGCGTTATGATAACCTATTTACGGCATGAGCTGCCCATATTCTCTTGGTATAACAGTCATGAGTTACATACCGAAGTTCAACACAAGACCGTTCATATTGACGAGAACCAGCCCATACCTTACAGGTGCTAGATTTCAGCAATGGATGCTCGAGTTTCTCTGACTAGCTGAGAAAACAGATGGTAAATGCTGCCAGTACTGCAGTATCTTTTCTAATTATTTAAAATTACAAAAAGTGACGGAAACCTGGTCGAAGCGAAAGCTGTCAAGATGCGAACGGTTAAGCCCAGAAGTTGATAAAAAAAACATACAAGAGCCTGGAGACTTCTTGGATTTATGAAAATATGCAAGCTGAAAGCACCTGAGAATGATAAACCAGAATGAGAGATCTGGTATATGTGAGATTGCTCTCCCATAGATATTGGTAGTGTCATCCTATGTAAAGTTTCCCATATCTGCTTATTGTTCTTCCGATATTTCCCATAAATCTTCTTGCGAATCGTAGTTTAAGTTTAATTTATGATACCATGCAATGAGCTGCGGAGAAATTCGCAACTGCCCAATGAGGAACAGAAGAGAGGCACCGACAGCATACACAAAGCCTCGAAGGATCAAATTGCGTCAGGTTTGCGACAAATGTTGAGCAACCTTGACCGTATACAGGGTAAGAATATGCGATGCCCGAAGACTTCCTTACACTGCAGATTTTTGAAGCAAGATTGACAAGCAGAACTCCTTGAGTTTGCATGCATTTGGAAGTCACCGCCCAATCAAATATCGTAAGCACCATACAAATGGAACTCGGATAAAATCAAACCACAGCTGTGGTATCGTGGTGAAGTACAAAAGTTTTCTGCATATTTGAATGCTGGAACACTATCTATTGAGGAATAGCGATAGAGTTTAAAATCGCATTTAACCTTATTGCCTTCATGTGATGTGTGGAAGCCTAAAAAATCCGATTAAAGTCTCCGTGAGACTTGAAGAGGTACCAAACCCCATTTTGTCAAACAAATAGAAAACTTGTATTTAAACTCAAATTTGGATCCACATGTTGAAGAAGTGGGAAGAACTTCATTCTTTACTGAAGTAAGAAAGTTGACATCGAAGGGATCTGGAGAATTTGAAGAATTTGAAGAACCAATGGTAGATGCAGAACTAAACTGATATACGGTTTGAAACACTTTCATGTCAGACTTGCAGAGAGATTTTTATCCAGACTGAAAAGTTTATGTCGATGTCACACGAATGGGATTTCCTTTTCTTAGAGACTTGGAGTCTATCTCTATGTTCAGAATTTCCAACAACATCAAGGAAAACAAATTCCATGATGTTTGAAGCTTGAGGCTAGAAACGGTATCTAGCGATTGACACAAGCGTGAATTTGGGTCTCACAAATTTGGAATGGCTTTCTTGTGTGTTGTTTTCAGCTCGACCTTGGCACGCCCCCACGTATAACACAGTAAGGGGTTCTGGGGTATGGGGGCATGGGGGCCTGGGGGCTGTAGAAAGTTCATATTGTATTCCAAAATCTGAGTAAACTCTCCGAATCCATGAATATTATTGTTCTTTTGGCAGTTACCTTGGTAGAGCTACCAAGATGCTGTACAATATCAAAGAAGCGGAGCGTTTGTTGTCCATCTTCAGGTTACGCACCGGAAAATACCCACCCAAAAAACCATGCGCCCCCGATAATTTCTTTCTTTCAATCCAATAACCCAAATTTCAATAACCTTTAATTTCTAAATGACTGTCCTCACCGGCGCGAATAACTTCACCCGTCTTCCCGGACCTGCGACGGTCCGGATGCTGTCTTAGCCATAAATAGGATGGCTACTTTGGTGACTATCCCACATCTTGGTAACATTGACTCAAGGTCATGACTTCCTAATCAAGAAATTCAGAAATTACCAGTGATCACATCATCCGTCTTCTTTAAAGCCCAGATGCCTCCCGTTTCTGCCAAGAAGGCTACGATTCATGGAAAGTATACGTCGTTGTCCGAGATCTCACCGTCTTTTCTGATCTCAACGTTGTACCTTATCATCACAACGCAAAGGTGGAATGGAGTACGGAATGTGAGCAAATCAGTCCTTATCTAAAGATACATCATCTCCAAATTCCAAGACTAATGAAATCAATTTGTCCCCAGATAAATCATATTATCACAACTTGGCATCTTGGAGTCTTGGAATTCTGCGGCGTTGATGTACCAAAAATATACCCACTTTGGGCAGCAGTCAGATGGATTGATAAAGAGTGTTGACATACTTGTCATGTCTGCCTTCTCTTGATGGTACACATTCATTTCACCGTGTGCGATTGAAAAAGTCCAGACTTTGACCAAGATACTGTTGTGATACCTGCAACACCATATTGTCTTACTTTGCATTGCAGTAAGCAAAGCAGCACTTGCTGTAGAAATCCTAGTGGATTACGCGTCAGAAGTAGTCGATTCAAAGCGTTCAACTTTCTGTTATACTTTGCAATCAATCCTTATCAAAGTTTTCCTCAGTTACGACGATCAATACCAAAAGAACTCTTTCAAGACGTCCGAGGATCAAACGATTGAGCACTAAAGTCTCATATATGACGTTTGGAAAAGCAATGCCACGAAGGGAGACAGAAAGTAACAAACCTGCAATTCCATTTTCCGACGAAACCTTATTTTCACTTGGCATTTGACTTCGCCTCTCTTGGCCAGTAAAAAGCATCATGATATACACATGCGACAGCAACAACCCGGTGGACATTTCTCAGATACCACACAATTTCTAAGAAAGATCTTCGCCAAGATCCCATATCTGCGGCTCCCCAGATGATGGTTCCCTCGACATACACATAATCTCTTACCTTGATAGCAAAGGCCAAGGGGTCTAAACCTAGTCACTGTCCCCTTATTTTGCTATTTTATTCTGAACTTTGGGCTCGATTTCTAAGCATAAGGTTAATTACAGTTATGAGTACCGAAACCACCAAGCATTCTATCCCCATGTAAGTCTGGGCGAAAAGATATAGTAAGTTTGTATCACTACATTCAGCTTGATGTCCCAGTTATTCCGCAAGATAAGTTAAAGCGTCCCTCCAAGTCGGATGAGGCGTTCCTCTTTCATTCTCGTCAATATACTTGTACCCTCTCTGCGAGTAGATACCAACAAGTGACTTTTCCATTGTTGAGATAAATACTTTCGAGACAAGTTCTTTCCTCAAAGCTGGATTGTTACCATCTATTTGTGTTCAGTCGATTCCTGAGTAGTGTCCTGTGATATTTGGCATCTCATTTCCTCATCCTTTCGCCATCACGATGACTGGGAAATTCACACTCAAAGATCCGGCTCGTTGTGCCCACTATGCTCGATTCTTTCAGCATTTAACATTGAGCGAAGCTAATATCATATACTGGTCTTTATTTATATTCGTTCTTGTCTTGATGTGTATATCATCCATCCAACATCACAAGTAAGTAGTTGTCGCCATATGCTCACACTCTTCTCCACGTTCTCCACAATTTCCTGGACCTGTCAGTCTAACAGACCCCAGATCAAACAACCTGACCGAACTCCTGAAAAGTAACTCCAGTTCTCGCCAAATACGTCGCATTCGTCGTCGTCGTATTCACTACCTCTCGATAGTATCCCTTTGTTTCCTAATCGCTCTTATTTGTATCGTGCTCGAGGTGTTCGCCGCCTTCAACATCGAATACTGTGATGGCGAAGATTTAATTCAACTCTACTGGGGGTTTTGGTCAATTCTTCAAGTCGGTTCTCTCATCGCTATTCTAGGAGTCATGCTCCAATTCTGGATCGTTCTTGGGAACGTCCAAACACCAAGTTGGGCAGTGGCCCTAGGAACTCCGGTGTTGGTTTTCGCCGCGTTGGGGTACATCTTTAGACATATCGGGAAAAGCTGGAGAGGGAGAAAAGGCAGAAGTCAGGAAGAGGATACTGATATTGAGGTAGGTAAAGGTGGGGATGTTGAAAATGAGGAAGCGGAGAAGAGGGGCAGTTGGGCTGAGAGGTGGATTACTTGGGCACCTGAGGATCGAGAAATCCGAGACAGAAGAGAAGAAGATTTGAGTAAAGTGAGGACCATGAGGTCGGCTGAATGTTCGGACATGGAGTTTGCTAGTAGAGCGTAAGTACTATACCTTTATTTTGATTGGAATAATTCTAGAGGTTATCGATGTACTAACACGAAGCAGAACAACATTATACACACCAGGACAGCCAGGCGATGTCAGAAGGAGCTCGACGTTTTGAGCTATGGCTGGATGCTGGCGATTGATTGAAATATGTTAAATTATGTTTGATGATATGATACACACATGCTCAAGTGCTGAGCTCAGAACGAATGGATAAACGGATACCAAAGGGAATACAGAGTTCGTTAAAGTTTGGATTAAGAATTGGCGTTTAGAAAAAGATGGATTTTGGATTTCGATATGATATGAAGTGAAAGATTATGATGAAATGAGTATAACATGAGTATTGAATAGCTAAGCAATTGGAATTTTGAGCAGCATGGAACAGACACATACATTTAGATAGAAAATATCACTACAGCCCGCAATGAAGTTTAGTTAGTCCTGCTTGTTCCAACCAAAGATCTTGTTTTTCAAGGCTGATCATGTGAGCCCCAACTATCCGATCAATGTGTATAAATATATTACGCTTGAACTCATCTCATCCCTTCCTACATAACACAATTTTCTACGGCTGTTTCCATCCATAACTTCGTATACAATCTATGCGCAAACTCCACATGTGCCGGCATAGGTTTCTCGGTACTTTTCCCGGTCCCCTTAAAGAACACACTCTTCAGCTCGAAGACCGCCACTCCCTCATTTTTATCAACACTAGCCTTCATCTCGAAAAGTCCATCGCTATCCCTTACCCCGGTTACTAAAGGTGAGTCTCCGCAGCGGACGATAATTGAAGTGGGCGTTTTGGAAACTACTTCAAAATGGTCGGTTATTTGAGTTCCGACTTCATAAGTGGAGGAGAGAAGTTGCGAAGGTTCCCAGAGCTGGTGGGAGGTGGTGGTGGTGTTTTGGTATTTTTTAGAAAGGTAGGAACGTTGGTATGAATAACCTATGTTTTCCAATTAGATTAGCTTTAATCACACACTATTCCTATTTCCGTATCTCCTCCTCTCTCTCTTCCTTAGCCGCCAAGCAACCCCGGCAAGCTTTTCAAGAGTACAGTGAAAGGTACATACCCAAACCACCCCAAACTCCCGCACAAAAAGCCTCAACCAATTTTCCCTCCTTCTCCAGTAAATGCGGCTTTATCTTACTCAACGGTACTTTTCTTTGACATAAATCTTGCGTGGCAGGATTGCGATTGGGGTTTTGTCGCATGTAGGCTGCGCTTGAAAATATCGGATCCGAGGGGGAGACGGGGATGAATCTGGAATTGCGCGTCCAGAAGGCCCAGCCGGATGTGGCGCCTGCGGCTCCGAGGAGGGCGGTGGTGAAGGTACTGCGGATAAGTCCCATTTTGTTAGAGGTCCTTATAGTGGGAGGAGGAAAGAGAAGGAAGACTAATGGAGAAAAGTTCGAGAGAGAAATGTGATGTGGTGTGACGAAATGGTGGAGCAGTGCTATTGGTAAGCTTGCGGATAAGGCTTATCGAGCTTATCGACGTTTCCAGGGGTAGGTCTCGGCAGAATTGAAAGTTCTTGATTGCCGATCAAGAGACTGGTGGACAGTACCTACCTAGTCTATGACATAGGAGGGAGCGGTATTCAACTTATTCCCTCATCCGAATATTCTCTAACTTCGATTTGTACTTTCATACAGGTTTCATCCTTTCAATCTCTTCTGTTTTGCAATCTTCATGCCGTAGAAACAAATTGTTCAACTGCTCCTTTCTCTGCCAGATTGACGTGTTTCAATCATCAAAGTCCAATGTTTGGTTCAAGATTGATTTGATTCTCCACCTCCGATCTTTTGAGTGCTGCAGAAAACACTTTCCAGTTTAGGAACTTTGCAATACCCAATCGTTAATTCACAATGCAATTTCACTATCGTTTATCTTGCCCAGATGTTTGCCGAGGTTGGAGGCAGCAAATCAATCGATCTTCGAATGTTTTGTGGCCCATATGCATGATTGCTTCACTTGAACACCATCCCCATGTATACATTCCACGGCTTGCTCCACGCTGGATAATCTCCTGATCAGCAAGTGGCTGGTCAAGTCGCGGCAGGTTTTTCCCATGCATGATATATCGGCTTTATGGAAGTGTCACTTCCCTTATCGGCGACGTGTATCTCAAATATCTTACCAAGCCTATCTACCCCGCACATCACCGTGATAAGGGAGTGTAGCATGGAAGAGTACCAGTTCTATAGAAGTTGAGATTGTCTACCAAAACTTATTTAAAGTTCTCTGCCGAGTTCCTCTTCAAGCAAACATCTCAGGTGCTTCACCACAAGAAAGAAGAGCAAAACCTCAGTATGGGGGACGCAGTCATAATTCCAGACCAAACCAGAGGTTATCGCTTGGGTGTTGATGTTGGAGTACGTGAATCGATACTCAACAACTGCAAGTATATGCCGCAGCTGACAATTGGTTTTAGGGAACATTCACCGACGTGTGCGTTTTTACACCAGAGGGCGATACTATACGAACAAAGGTACCATCAACTGGTCAAGATCAAAGCATCGGTGTCAAAAATGGTATCATGCAAGTGCGAAGGAAATTGAAGGAATTGTATAACTGGGATGGACAATTCGATGGTATTCATCACGGCACTACTGTTGGTATGGGCTTATCACCTTTCTATGGCATTTGAACTAAACATTCTGATTCTCGAGTCAGGAACAAATGCAGTTCTTGAAGGCAAAGGAGCAAAGGCTGGATTGATTGTCACAGCAGGTCACAAAGACATTCTGGCTGTGCGGAGGTCTCAGATACCAGGTGGTCTGGGAGCTTGGATTAATTTTATGCCACCTGATCCTATAGTTCCTCTTGAATATACCGTGCAATGCAAAGGAACTATGGGTTGTGATGGTCAAATTGTTACACCAATCGATGAAGATTCACTTCGCAAAGATCTTAAACGCCTCAAGAAACGAAATCTTGAAGCAATCACAATTAGTCTGCTAAACTCTTACCAGAACGACATACATGAGAGGCAGGTGGCAGAGATTTCGAAGGAGATTCTCGGTCCTGGTGTTGAGATAATTTGTTCAAGTGATGTGTTATCAGAGATGGGAGAATATGAGCGTACTGTGACAGCAAGTGCCAACGCTATCGTTAAGCCAGTAGTCAAGAAGTACTTAGCTAACCTCCAAACCCTTCTTGCTGATGATAGCGAGACTATTCGAATCTTGAAAAGTGATGGCGGTCTTACCACATTAGACTTGGCTGGCGATCTACCTGTCAACATCCTAATGTCTGGACCAGCAGGGGGTGTCCGAGGCGTCGCAGATATTGTGGCTAAGAAAACTAAATATCGAAATCTGATAACATTAGATATGGGTGGCACTTCAACCGACTGCGCACTCATTTCCGATGGTACTCCTGCGATTCGAAGAGAGACGGCTATTGACAACTTGACAGTAAGAGCTCCATCGGTGGATGTCAGGTAAGTCTCATTTCGCCCATCTTGCCATGATGCCTTTTAGTTAACCATTATCAGAACTGTTGGTGCAGGTGGTGGATCAATAGCACAATACGTTGAATTGACATCTACAATGCGCGTAGGTCCAGAATCGTCTGGAGCAGATCCTGGGCCTGCTTGTTATGGGAAGGGCGGAAATAACGCGACTGTAACTGATGCAAATGTTGTACTTGGCTATCTCCCCGATAAACTTCTCGGTGGTGATTTTCCACTAGACATTGCAGCTGCAAGGATTGCGGTCGAAAACGTTGCCAAGCAGATGGGATTATCGATAGATGAAACCGCTCAAGGGATTTATAACTTGGTTAACGAAAAGATGTACAACGCTTTACACAACGTTTCAGTTGAACAAGGTTATAATCCCGAAGACTTTTCACTCGTTGCATTCGGAGGAGCCGGTCCTCTGCATGCGAATGCAGTAGGAAAATTACTCGGAGCTTGGCCAGTTATTGTTCCACCCGCTCCAGGTGTTTTATGTGCACAGGGCGATGCTACGACAAAGTTGAGCCATGAACAGTCTATTTCTTACATCAAACTTCTTAGGGATGCCAAACAAAGTGATATCTTCGATGCTCTATCTGAACTAAGGACAAGGTGCCAAGATGTAGTTCTTAGCGCATTAAGTCAGTCAACCCCTCTGAAAGTCGAGTACGAAGCAGATCTCAGATACAAAGGCCAGGCTTTGACAATGTCTATCCCATTTCTCGCAAATGATTTTGGACTTGATTCATCGAACTTCATCAAAGCGATCAAAGAACGATTCCACGCAGCTCACGAACAGCAATATAGCTTCTGTCTTCCCGATTTCGAATTGGAAATGATGCGAATTGGTGTAATTGTTACAGATGATTCTACGGACGTGGAACTTAATTCTATCGAAATTGCTCCTCATGATAGCATCCACACACCTCCACATGATGCTATCATTAGTCGGAAAATGATTAGCACCGATGGAATAACAATGGAAGCGATATTTTGGGAAAGATCCAAGATTACGAAAGCTGGATATAAGGTTCAAGGACCTTGTGTGGTGTCCGAAATGGATTCCAATACTCTCATACTTCCAGGCTTTTATGGCGAAATCGATTCTTTTGGAAATATCCTTATATTTCCAGACAAGGATACAAAGTTAACGTCTGATATCGCCCATCATGATTGGGAAAGTGCCCAAGACCTCGTTCAAAAGTCACCATTGATTCCGACTTTGATCTCCTCTTCATTGCAGTCAATTAGGAATGAAATGGATACGCTTATGCTAAGATGTAGTATGTCACCTGCCATTCGAGATCAACAAGATGAATTTAATGTCATCACGAACAAAAAGGGACAGATGTTAGTGGGTCAATTTGGTAGCTTTATTACTCAGTTCCTGCAATCATGGAAAGGAACTGTTGAAGAGGGTGATGTTTTCGTCACAAATGATGTTTATGAAACTAGTGGTGCTATAAGTCATCTCAATGATGTGATTGTACTTCTTCCAATCCATTACAAAGGGGATCTCGTGGGCTGGGCGGCAAACTTTGGACATATGACGTATGTTATTTCTCGCTCTCCCAGGTACCATGAACTAATTGTTGATTAATAGTGATGTTGGAGGAACGGTACCAGGAAGTATGTCTATTAACTCCACCTCTGTCTTCGAAGATGGGATTCAGATACCCACCGTAAAACTTTACTCTCAAGGAATATACAATGCAGCAATGGTCGAGGTATTTTGTCGAAATTCTCGTCAACCGGATTGGTTTCGTAGCGATTTGACAGCCCTTGTAGCTGCTTGTAGAACGGCAGCTACTAGAGTCTGCGAGCTGAACGAACGATTCGGTCCTAAGTAAGTGATGTAAATCACAACTTTACAGCAGGATAACTGATTTCTATATCTAGTGTATATAGTGCCTCTTGCGACGAACTTCTCGCACGAAATCGCTCAGGTATTATGAAACTCATTGAGACTCAGATCGGTGACGAGGAAAGCATATTCACTGATTTCATCGACGATGATGGTCAAGGTGTTGGACCTTATGCAATCACCTGTTCCATGAAAAAGACGAATGGAAAACTGGTATTCGACTTCAATGGTACTTCTCCGCAAGCCGAAACAGCTATTAATTTCTATCTCTCAGTTACTATGTTCAAGATGTTTGTCGGGTACTACTTACTAGCAGTATTCGATCCATATTGTGTCGTCAATGATGGATTTCATGACATGCTTGAAGTTATTATACCCGAAGGATCTATACTTCGTCCCGTACGCCCAGCACCTGTCAGCTGTCGAACTCATCTTATGGGCCGCACAATGGATATCATCCAAGCTCTCATGGGTCAGCGGTCGCCTCAATATAGTGCTGCTGCTGGATTTTCAGATTCTCCACATTTCTTTTACTCCGGTTTCAAGCCTAATGGTGAATGGTATCAACTCTACCAAATTGGCTTTGGAGGTGTTCCAGCCCGTCCCATTGGCGATGGTCCAGATTGTCATTGCTTGTTTCCAGCTATCAAATCTGTGCCCGCTGAGGCTATTGAGCTTAACTTTCCATTGCGAATCGAAGCAAATGAATCACTTGCCGATACTGGAGGCGCAGGATTCCATCGCGGTGGTAACGCACAAAGAACCTTGTACCGATTTTTGGCGAAAGGAGAATTTAGTCTTCATGATGATAGATGGTTCACAAAACCGTGGGGAATTAACGGAGGGAAACCAGGCATGAGATCTTGGAAGAAACTGCATTCGGTGAATGGAGAGGAAAAAATGTTGCAAAGTAAATGTGATCATGTCAAGGTGGTTCCCGGAGATTTGTTAGAATGGGTTACCTGGGGAGGTGGAGGGCTGGGTGATCCATTCACGAGACCGGCTGAGAAAGTTGCGTTGGAGGTTGAGAGGAAGTTGGTTACAATCGATGGGGCCAAAAGAAATTATGGAGTGGTAGTTAATGAGGATGATTTCTCGGTCGATAGGGAGGGAACAGAAATACTGAGAAAAAAGATGAAGAAATCGAATGAGGGAGAAGGAGTAGTTTACAATAAAGGTGGTACTTTGGATGAATTGAGAGAAAGATGCGAGGAGGAGACAGGATTGAAAGCTCCTGTTCCACAATGGGAAAATGATCCATACGGACCACATACAGGACTAAAGTATGTGCAAGAGTGGTTCAAGGAGAAGAGGGAAATTAGAGGTTGGAATTTACAGTGACAAATCTAGGCGAATTGTCTCTAAATTCGTTATAATGATTTCAACTCTTCTCAAATATATTGACTAACTATCCACGTCTGCAGCCTGTGTATCGACTTGTTTTAGATCTCCACGTGCGAATTGGAGATGAGCCCCCACTATCTCCTTGCAAATATCCATTTCATATCCATAACCCCCACCGGATAAATCGCTGCAACTCATATTGATTTGCTTATTTTTTTTAGTAATGTATATTTGCTCTGCCACTGCTCTTGCATCAACAAGTAATTAGTGATAAGCGTTTGTGGTTTAGTGGTAAAATCCATCGTTGCCATCAATCTCCAGTTCCTTCCTGGAATCTGAATTGAACAACCTCGATGGGCCCCGGGTTCGATTCCCGGCGAACGCATTCTTCTTTTGCTTTTGGAACGGATTCTCCTTATGGATTCGTCGCTTTGTTGTCGATTTTTGAAGTTGTGCTTGCTGGGTGGTTGTTTAGAGCTGATTTGATAGGCGAAAATCTTGGTGTTGAACTTTTGTTGAAATACCGAGAGACGCTTTGACCCCTTTTCTTTGTAATTGCTTTTAGGAGAATTAAACCTCTGGTTACCAGCTGTGTGAATGCGTTTGCACTCTTCTACTTTCACTTGCGGCGGGGATAACGTATTAAGCATAATTTTTGTTGTCAATATGAGATGAGCTACGAACAATGACAGTTTCGTCATTTAGTTGCTGTTATGTAACCGATATCCCTACATCGTGCACGTCCCTGTATTGTGCATGCTTTTTTAGCTTTCAAAAACATCAATATTACTATCTAAATATCGCGACAATATGTCTTCAGAAAGCTATATGGAGCTTGTGTTAGATTATATTAAAGGCTAAGAATATTCTAAATATATTTAGATAGTTTATTTATATAAAGTCAATTATATTATGCTTTTAAAACGGTATAAAAACAAAACCACCTTTTGCAAGATAGGTTATGCTAATATATATCAATATCTTTTATTAGAATAGGAGGAGGCTTTATTAGATTAGATTAACAAGTTAATATAAAGATCTATATTTTCTATAAATATTATAATTAGGAATTTAGTAGAAGAGATAAGAGGGTATTCTATAGGAAAGAACTAAATAGCTAACTTTATCAAACAATATAAAAGTTATATTCAAAGTCTGTCACGGATCGCACCCAATCGTAGCTGCGATCGCTCACGTGCGCGCTTGCGCACGTGCATGATCACATGTACATAGCTAGTATATAGAAGTGCTCTACAAACACTTTGCTCCCGATTCTGTAATTATAGATTCTAAGAATAAATTGTACCCTGCTCTTGTAATTCTTTTAAGGTAAAGTATTATATTATCTACAACTCATTATATAATTGTATGGTCATTTAATAACCGATTAAATAATACCTTATAATTATAATATTTTCTTGAATATATCGAGGACATTCGATATTACTTATAGAAAAAGAACTGATTTCGAATAAATCTACTCAACGGAAGATAACAAATTCTTAATATATAAAGTTATAAGTATTGTTATCATATTCGATCTATTTATTTTAAAAAGACTTTATTGCTTTCCTTCTCTTGTTGGCCGAATGCTTTCAGTTGATAACAATTAATCTTAACGGAGCAATAATTATAGTTCTTATAGTTCTAATATAAATATTGGTAGATATGGAAAGAATAAACAGTCTGGAAATAACTTCTCGATTGAGGTATTAATTCTTGAGGGTAGTATATTGATATACACTTTCCCGTTATAGGAAGAATAAGTGCCGATTCTTAAAGATTTTGAGGATTTGTAAAACAAAATTGTAAAACTCAAAAACGAATTGCTATAATATAATCTTAATATTACTTATCCATTTCAATCTTCAAGATACCGATAACAATATTATGCAGATTTCCTTGTAAATTGTGAAGTCCGGACTTCTAATATTCTAGTCGATTCTATTGAAAGAGTATCTCTTATTATTGGAAAAAGAAAGAATAAAAAAAACCTTTATTCGCGAAGTCAGTCTTCATGATGATCTTTTTCGAATACCGATAGCAGACTTCTCTCAAACTCGATTGCTTTGCCAAGTAATCTATAAATTCATTAAATATCTTACTCTTGTTTACCTATTACTGCAATAAAGCATCTGTACATTCCGAAATCTATCAATCTTTTATTTAAACTTAAAGATGGTATAAAGCCGAAAGCAAGTCTCTAGCAATTATTGGTTATTGAATGACTTGAACTTTACAAAAATTCGCTTATTTCGAAAGTACAATGGTGATTTTATGTAGTAGATCAAACAAAAGGAAAGGTATAAGAATATATATTCTTGTTATACATTCAAGTCCCCTATTTGATAGGATAGCAATTAATCAATCAGCTCATAGCTATTTACAAGAACCCGATTAAAGCCGATTATATACAAACTGAGTATGAACACTAGATTATACCTAATAACATTTAACAAGAAAACTTCCTAGTATGGTATCACAGATTTAGATTATTAGTTATATAGGCAAAAGTCACCAATTCGATAACTCTCCTTTGTGATCTAAAAAGAAAAATATCCGATTTCCTTCAATAAGCTATTGACCTTTACATCAACAAATACTATATTGTTAAGGATCTGGCTACCAAGCTTATTAAAATTAATAAACTCAAAGTTACGCTTCGAGAATATAATTATTATAGAATGATTAAAGAAATACTTTTTAGAAAGCCATCTAGTAATATCGATTTGTTAACTATCTCTAGAAACACTTTCCGCTTATTGAGTAATTCAAATCTATCTACTCAGTTTCATACCTAATATTCTTCTTGTACTTCTACTAGCTATACAAAAACCTTTAAGTCAAACAATATTCCATCTTTAGAAAACAATTTCAATTGTAATACTACCATTTCTGTATTAAGAGTAAATTGCAATTTTATGCTATATATAGATAATGTAAACACTATAATCGAGATTTAAGAGATTAAAAAAAACAAAGAGTTCTACAATATAGAAAAGAATATCAAAAAGAATGTAAACTAAGAAATATAAGCGAAAACTATCGAGTTCGTTTGTATTACTGAAGATTAACATTTAAATTAATACATTTAGATAGAAGTTCCCTTCTAAATACGATTCGGGATATAAGATTCCTCGATTTGACAAAACTAATGAAAAGTAATTCTATAAATCTATTATATATACTTTCGAAGAACGGATATTTATATAATACTCAATCTCTTATAGATTCTGGAGTGAATAGCTTTGCTTTTATTGATAAGATATTTCTTTTATTATTATTCCCTATATTCAAATCCTGTTTCATACTACTTGAACTACTGATTGAAGTCAAAAGCTATAATAGTGTATAAGGTAAAGCTATCACTCATTTCATATTTTTTAATTTCACAATTGATGCTTGACAACAGTCTTATTTGTTATTTTTCATTACCGATTTAGGTTTACATAATGTAATTCTAGATTACAAATAATTGATAAAGACTTGAGTTAAAGTTGATTATTTTAACCGATATCTCAAATAGCCTTCCGAATATCCTTTTACTGTTTCCTTATCAAAAAATATACTTTTAACTAGAGACAGTCTTTAACAACCCAGAATCAATCACTTGAAACAAAAAGATGCTAATAATCGAAATATTCAATTAAAAGAGATATACCATCGACTTGATAATAAACAACTAATTATAGCACTGATTATATCTAAAATACTTATTATCCCTCCCTAAAAAACTAATACAATAATCTCAGATATAATTGAAGTTTAGGTTTTAGTCAATCTGAAGAAAAAATCTATTCTTGATTAAATCTCTATTCAGTTTATTTACAAATCCCTTTTGCTTTATATCTCCAATATATTCGATATTTATATATTCAAATTGATTCAATTTTAATTTATTTATAAAAGAAACAAGGATTATAAGATCTTTATAATTATATATATAGAAATTGATAATATTATTTCAATTTATAAATCTAGTTAAGATAATAACTATCGAATCTCAATTGCAATTATTGCTTTAAATAATTCTAAATCAGAAACTATTGCTGCTCTCAATTGCATTATTATAGATATCGAGATGGAATCTTCGATCCCTAAAGTTTATCAGTAATATTATCAAGCATTCTCTAAATGCAAGTCCAATATCCTATCTTTCTTTCAGTTATATAATTATAAGATTATACTTGAAGGAGAAGGTGAAAAAGCTCTCAAATACAATCCCCTATATAAGATATTACTCAAACAGCTTGAGGTTATTAAAGAATATATTATAGAAAATCTTGTTAAAGGATTTATAGAATCCAGTTAAACATTATTTATAATGTTGATTCTCTTTGTGAGAAAGCTGAATGGAAGTTTAAGGTTCTATATAGACTTTCAACTACTTAATTCTTTAATATGTAAAGATAGATACCCTTTACCTCTTATTAACGAGATATTTATATAACTTGCTAATATAAAAATGTATACCAAATTAGATATTCGATAAGCATTCCATCACATCCATATAGATCTAATTTCCGAAGAATATACTATTTTTCGTATTTGATATGATTTCTATAAATACAAAGTTTTATCTTTTGGATTAATAAATGGCTCTGCAATTTATTAATAATATATAAATAATATTCTATTTGATTATTTAAATAACTTCTGTATTACTTATCTCAATAATATTTTTATATATTCTGAAAACGAAGATGAATATAAGAAATATATCAAACATGTTTTCGAATAATTTAAGTCCACTAGTCTTTAGGTAAATTTTAAGAAGTATAAATTCAATATCAAATATATAAAGTATTTAAGTTTTATTATTTTTACAGACAATGTATAAATCGATCCAGAAAAGATTGAAGTGATTGTTACTTGGACTTACTCTATTACCATAAAGGGTATCCAATTGTTCTTAGATTTTTGTAACTTTTACTATCAATTCATCAAGAATTACAGTATAATAATAAAATCTTTTTATGAACTTACAAAAGCAAATG